AAATTCTCTAGTATCTTTGTTACTAAGATTTATTTCTTGTAAAAAAATAATGTCCAATTTATATGATTTTAATAATGTTAGAGTGTTTCTTTGTTTTTGTTTGTCATTAAGCCCCTTAATGTTTAGAGTTGCTGTTGTTAATTTTGATTTAGTCATTGTTTAGATAAAGAAGGGATTTGTGTATTTTCAGAGGTCTTGTTTTTATTCAGAATTCTAGTTTTCAAATAGGGTTTGTCTTCTTCTTGCTTTTTGTAAAAGCTTTTTTTAACTTTTTTTCACTTATTGGTAACTAGAATAAATTCTAGTTCTTTTTCCTCAAGATCAAGAGGAGAGGTAGTTTGGTATATAGTCAATTGACTTTTAGCTTGTTGTTGCTGATTAAGAGTAACTAAGTTCTCTTTATTCATTTTTGGTAAAACTTCTTGTAAATTTAGGAGTTTATTGTTATCCATTTCTGAATCAGGTTGGTTGCTAGCCCAAGCAAGAGATTCTTTATTGAATTGTAAGATAGTAACTGCAATAACTTCATATTCTTGAATAGCTAAATTCTTTTTTCAGAGAATTGCTTCGTTTGATAGTTTGTTTTGCATATTGGAAGATTTTAGAACATTGTATAAAGGTTCTATTGCTCTTTTGGTTTTATTCTCTTGATATTTCTTGTATTGTTGTCTGAGTTCAACTGCCTTTTTGAATTGCTCAGTCTTTTTTTAGATGTCCTTTCCTGTCACAAAAGAAGCAGATTCTAGAAGCTAACTTCTATTTAGTTATAACTTTGTTGTCTTATAAAAAGGTATAGCATAGAATTCTTGCTTCAAGTTTTGGATCATCTGTTGTCTCAAAGATTATGACCTATTGGTCAATTGCATAAGGAGTTCCTTCAATAAGAAGTGGTTTAATAGCTATGATTTTTCTGAAGTTTTTCAAAGGTTTCCAGAATTGCTTTAGAAACTTGTTCTTTGTTGTTAAGTAATACATTTCTGACCTTGACAGGCAAAAATAATTTTTTATTATTTGTAGGAATAAATTCATAATAGGTTTGATTAAAAATTACTATGCCCTTGCTGCCATAATGTTTAAGCCATTCATTATTAGCAAATACTAGTTCTAAGTATGTTCTGTTATCTTTGGCAAAGTGTTGTTTTGCAGTGATAACATTTTGTCCTACATATTCATATAAAGAAATCATAATTTCATTAAAGGAGTGGTTTAAGCTTCTGATATCAAGCACCAAAACATTATCATTTTTTAACTTAATAGAATTTCTAAGAGATGAGACAGAGTATATAGACTGTTATCTTTTTAATTTTGCAAAAAGGCTGGACCATTGCTTTTTGCCTCCTTGGGATGTATCTGTGTTAGTATATGTTTCGACATATAGATTGGCATATGCTTTACTGTGTACATCAGATTGTGCCTTAATACGTGTTTCTACATCATCTACATGACTTTCTTGTTTATCATCATATGATGCTTCATGTATATGTGTCTTTGTTGTTGTCAGTTTGCTACTTGCAGTATTATCTTTTTCAGTAGTTCTAGCTTTTGAACTTTCATTATTATTTTTTTTTGCAGTGTTACTTTTTTGTCCTGTTGCCAATGTAGCACTTTTATTTAGTTCTTGCTCTACTTGTTTATTCTAGTTTGCACTGTTGTTTGAGAAAAAACTTGTCTTGTATTCTATATTTTGCTTATTTAGAAGAAAGTTTGTTTCAAGTAAAACTCTTTTGTGTTTTCGAAGGATAAGTGGTATAAGTCTACATTTCTTAGAAACAAGGGCCTTTGCCCTAGTTCTAATAAAAAATAAAGGGTCTTTGCTTTTTTTGTTAGTTGTTATTTTGTTGATAATAAAAATCCTATTCAAATTAGTGATGAACAGAAAAGAGTTTTATTTTTAATTTTTAAGCAATAGATTTTATTCAAAGCTCTATAATAGGTTTAACCAAATATAGTTTAGAGATTGCAAAAACAATAAGCAATAGTATAATTATATATATAAATCTAACAACTGTAAAATACTATAAAATTAACTTGTAATAAAACAGATTACAAGTTTATATACAAAATACAATTTAACAAGACTAGTGAAGATATTAATAAAAATTAAAATAAAACAAAACCTGTTACTTATAAATGCAACAAAAAAAAGTTGGCATAAAATTGTATTAAAAGTATATTATAATTTATAAAAAAGCAATTTGGCATGTTAAATAATGTTAAAATCAAAAAACTTGCAAATATTATTTTATTTTAACAATGTAAATATAACAAAAAACAAAAAAAAATAAAAATTCTAAAGATATTGAAAAATAAACTTATATTACAAGTAACCTTATTACTAAGAAAACTTTATATAATTTGATAAACAAACTTATTAATAAAGTAAATAACAAAATAATCTTATAGCAACAATTTAAACTACTAAAAAAAAATTAAGTAAAAGTAAACTAGCCAAATGGTTTAAAAAAATTAAAGAAACTATACTGAAGAACAAGAATAATAAACAATTAAAAACAAAGTATGCTCTATTAAATAAATATAAAAAAATATTGCAAACATTTCTTAATAGTTGCTTAAGAGATAACAGAAAAAAAGAATGAATAGTATTAAAGTTATCAAAAAAAAAGAAATTAATAATTTAACAATAAGAAAAATAGTTATAAATACTTCTAAGAAAGTATTTACAAAACATTAAAAAATAAAACTAAAAAAAAAAGCTCTTATAAAATGCAAAGAATATAGTTTTAATTATATAAAAAAAGCAAAAAAACTGCAAAAACTAAAATAAAAAGAAAATTTAAAGTTTTTTGTTAATATTTATTAAATAAAAAAAAGAATTATTATTTAATTTAAACTAAAAGATGATAAATGGCTTGTATAAAGAAGATAAAAATAGATTAAGCAAATATAAAACCTTAGTCAAAGATATAATATATGATAATTTAGACACAAAGTTAATCAAAAAGCAGGAATGAAATAAAAATCTAAAAGAATCTTATTTTCAAGAATTAGAAAAATTAACTAAAATTAGACTAGAAGTATATCTTTTATACAAATAGTTCTCTTAAGAAGTTGACAAGAATAGATGCAGATAATGATTATAAAAAAGCAAACTAGATACAAATATATATAGGAAAGAAAAAATAATAAATAAAAATATTATTAATATCTAAAACCAAAACTAATAATTTTCTGTAATACAAAATCACAAATTATATAGTACTAAAAACTAAATTATGTAATATAATTTAAATAGTTTTTAAAGAATTATATATTATTATATAATACTAATAGCTAATTATATACAATTATATAATACTAGATAACCAATTATGCGCAATTATATAATAAAATATGACTTAATTTATAATAAAAATTTTATTTAAAAAGAAATTTTAAATTCTATTAAAATATAATATTACTAAATTTTTTAATAATTCTTTAGACAAGTTTTATTTATTTTTATTTAAAAATAAATTATATAATAAAAAATTCTGTTTAACATTGCAACTTGAAATAGGTAACCAAAATATAATTAAGTAAAATGCTTGATAAAAGTAAAATTTGTAAGTGCAAATCTGACCAAAATATATCTAATTTCATTTTTTAAAATAGCAAATTAAAATAGATTGACTATTTTTTTGATTTAATAAATCTAACAAATTTTTAAGCTTTTTGATAATATTATAATAATAAAGAAAGAAATATTATATATATAACACCATGTTATATATCGCACTGTATCACATGATTTAATTTTGCATATATAAACTTTTGATATCATGTTATTTTGATTATCTATAAATATCGAAGTGACCTTTTTTCGCTTACGAAAGTGTTAGGTGGTTTTTGCTTTTACAAAGATGTTGGGTGGCTCTTACTATTTACAAAGTGTCAGGTGGCTCTCTTTATTTACAAAGTATTTCTTTTACGAAGGTGGGTAGCTTTTCTTTATTCAAGGTGCTGGCATTTTTTTTTTTTTTGAATTGTAGTGTTAGTAAAATAGTAGTCGCTGAATTTCTTTAATAGTGCTTCTTGTTTTTACAACAATTCCAGGTGTCTTATTGCTCTTTGAAAGCGTTACATGGCTCTTTCTTTCCTTACAAGGTGTCTGTTGGTTCATCTCATTTTGATCAAGACATTAGCCTTTTTTTTATTGATTCGCAAGTGTAATGAATAATAGGCACTGAATTTCTTCAATATTTCTTGCCTTTACAAATACCAGGTGTTCTTTCGCTTTACGAAGGTATTACATGGCTTTTTATTTCCTTTACAAGGTGTCTAGTAGCTTATTTTGCTTTAGTCAAGTGCCAGGTAGTTTTTGTGTTCATAATATTGATGAGATAGCATTTAATCGAACTTTTAATTAACAGTTTCTTCTTTATGAATATGTTTGAAGGTTCTTTCTGTTATTACAAAGGTGTCAGGTGGCACTTGGTGCTAAGTGATTTCACTGCGAGTAGCTTTTTTTGTCTTAGAAAAGGTGTTGTGTGGTTTTCGCTTTAATTAAAGCATCAGGTAATTTTTTGCCTTCATAAATGTGTTTGGTAAAATATGTTAAACTTCTTTATTAACAGGTTTTCTGACTTTTGCAAAGGCACTGGGCAGCTTTTTGATTTTTGCATTTTTTGTACCTTCATAAAGTTATTGAATGGTTTTCTAATTGAAACGTCGAATTGAAGTGTGGCTTTTTTTGTAATAAAGTGGTATAGATATTATGGTGTTTATGTTCATAAGAATATTTTCTGAATTTAACTTATTTTTATTTTTTAGATGTCAACTATTTCATTCTATTGACCTTTAATCCTTTTTTATGGTTGTTTTCCTATATGGATATTACTTTTAGCCTTCTTCCTGATCTTTTTTACTCCAAACAATTACGATTTATAGAATTTACTTTCAACTCAGAACATTTTATGAGACATTAAGTCTCAAATTTGTACTCCTCTTCTCAAGAATTTTTAGAATCTGTTCACGAATTAGTGAACCTTCCTCAAAAAGTAATGAATTCCCCTCCAAATTCTTTTCAAGAATTAATAGACTTCCTTCAAGAAACATTATGTGATGAAACATGTGATGAAATGCGTAATGAAATGCGTGATGAAATGTGTGATGAAATGTATAATAGAACATATGATGAAGTGCATGATGAAACATATGATAGAGTGCATGATAAAACACATGATGAAGTGCATAAAACCCATAAAGGACAAGATTTGGTTGGAATTAATGGCACATTACCTCACATTAACAAAGCAATCGTATTCGCCATTGATGATACTTTTCCTAACTGGTTAATTGCAGAACATTATGTTGCTGAATATAGCTGTCAAAAAGGATTTGTACCAATTAAGATATGTAATAAAACTGATCGTAATGAATGTTTAATAAACCTATATTATAAGTGTGAATTTAGTAGAACATATCAACCAAAGAAAACTAATAACTTACAAAATCAACATAATAAAGTTTCTAAAAAACTTAACTATGATTGGAAAGCTAATTTGTCATTTGCAACTGGTGTGGTTCAAATTACTAGTTTTAATAATAACCATGTTGAGCATCAACTTTCACCAAATACCAAAATTTTTGCTCCTATAAATCGTCGATTCTCTGATGATTGTCACGAAGAAATTCGCCATTTAACAATAAATGGTCGGTGTGACCTGTCGACAATACGATCTCTTCTATCTGTTAAATACCCCGACCAGCTTTTCTTAACATATGATCTTGCAAATATTGTGGCTCAGTTACGACGAGAACATAATGTGAAAGGAAGTGAAGCATCACAGCTTTTAAAACAACTTTATGAATATAGAGAAAAGGATCCTAATTGGTATATTGAACCCTTAGTTGACTCTATTAGTAATCATCTCTGTGGAATTTTTTGGATGAACCCGGGTCAACGTGAAAGATGGATTCGGTTTTGTGATATAATAGTTCAAGACAATACGACACAAACAAACCATTATAATTTTTCTTTGTGCCTTTTTGTTTTAATTGATAATCATAACAAAACATGAATCGCAGCATAGGCTTTAATGCCTGATGAAACTATTGAATCTTTTCATTGGGTTATGGGGCAATTAAAAAAAGCTACTGGAATTTTGCCAAGAATTTTAATGATGGATGAAGATCTTTCTATGAAATATGTTGTAGCTCATGATCTTCCGAATACCAAACATTTATTTTGTTTGTATCATTTAAGTCAAAATCTTTTAAAAAATCTTTGATGTAAGCTTGGTGTGCAGTATACAGATTTTATTAAAGATTTTTATTTGGCACGTAATAGTTTAAGTGAAAGTGTATTTGAGGCTAGATTTACAAATCTTTTGAATAATTATCCGGCTGCATCTTCATATCTACAAAAGCTATTTTTAAGTAAAGAATTGTGGGCATGTGCTTATATATTTAAAATTTTTACTGGTGGAATGCAATCGACACAGTGAGTTGAAGGACTTAATAATCATATCAAAACTGCTATAAATAGTTCATCAACTTTATTACAAGTAATGGAAGCAATACACCAATGCATTGAGTATGAAAGCCTTAGTCAACATTTTAATTCGTGGTCTCAGGACTGAATTAATTATAATGATAATCTTGTTTTACAGACTGTTTTTCCACAAGTCGTTCAACAAATAAATAAGTATTTAACACCAAATTTAGCAACTAAGCAACAAAAGCAGATAGTTCAATCAACTATCTACCGGGCTCAAATATTAAACATATGTAGGTGATATTGGGATTATTTTTATCGTTATTTGCTATTTTAATTAACTGCTCTATTTTACAGTTATGGAATTCTGATTTATTAAATTTACAAGACATTACATATGATGATGATTTTATTGAAAACACATATGATGTTTCGCAATCATATTTATTGGCTTTAATTAAAGAAAATGAATATTCTTCTGTTAAAGAAGTTTGGAGAATTACATGCTTGATTTCAACTAAGTCTGTTCATTATATTATATTGTATAAAAATAGACATCATCTATGTACTTGCCTTTTATCAGTTAATCATGGGCTCATATGTTGACATTTTTTTTGTGTGTTACTTGAATCAGATTTTGCAAAGTTTCATATAATGCTGTTGCCTATTCGTTGGTGCAAGAATGATATAACTGAATCTGAACATGCTCAAGAACCATTTTTAACATCAAATCGAAATACTGAATTAGTAATGATTACACATCATTTATGTAAAGCAATAAACATGAACTTACTTAAAATCGATGATGTCCAGGAAAATAGCTTTCAAAAATCTGTAGACAAGAAGCTTCAATTTAACAAATCAATGAGTCTTGCAAAGAAGACTATTATATTACAGAATAGTGAAAATGATAATGAATTAGATACTCTCTTGAAAAATTACATTGAAAAAAAGACTCTTCAATATGAAAAAAAAACTAAAGAAAGAGAAATGAGAATTCTTAAAGAGAACCATAGTTCAGAAAATGTTTTAGCTATAGAAACTGATGATAATCAACTAATTTCTATTGATAATGTTGCTAATCCCTTAAATCATATTGGAAAAGGGGCTCCAAAGAAGAATCGTATTAAGGGTGCACAAGAAGATCATATATAAAAAAAAAAGCTAAATCAGGTGCAAGCACAAGACTATGTGGACTTTGTCATGAACCTAATCACTATAAGAGCACATGTCTACAAAAAAAATCCAATCTAGAAAAGTAGTGGTGTGTATATGTAAATATATGCATATGTTATAAATTTCATATGTTCATTACTTATACTGTATCAGTGATGCCAAGAAAAAACTGAAAAATCTTATTAGAAAAAAAATTTCAGGTTTTCTCTTAGTATGCTTCTGTTTTGTTTTTTTTTTATGCTACATAGGATATGGACGAGTTAAACAATAATAGGTTTTTTTTGAAGTTTCTCTTTTGCGTTAAGGTTAGTTTAAATAGCTTACATTGCTTTACTTTTATATTAAGATTAGGATGAATGCTAATAAACTTTTTTTTCATATTATATTATAGATTATATGCATTCATATAAAGAGTTTGAGTAAATCAAATAATACAGTAGTCTTTTTTGCATTTAGAGGTTCGATGATTTCTTTTTTAAAAAAGTTCTATCTTTTATATTGTATTAATGAAGTTCTTTTATTATTTATAGCAAGGCGATGACCAGTTCTAAATTAACTTTTTTCAACAAGTACATATCTTATACTGCATTATGAAAATGCTAATTGAGATTTAATAAAGGTGCTAATAACATCTGTTTTAAGTATATCATATTCAACTATATTATCAATATATTGATACCAATATTGATATCGATATCAATATAATCTTTGCTGTATGTACATATATACATGTATAACGCGAGTTTAGTTTATTACTATGAATAGAAGAATCATTAAAATAAAATCAGAATCTGCTTTTCATTAATGTTCCAAGAGTGGCTTAGACTAAATTGAAAATCAATTAATCGATGATTAATCGACTAGTTAAATAATCAATTAGTTGACTAGTCAATTAATCGTAACTAATCGATTAATCAGCTAATCGATTAATCATCGATTAATCAGCTAATCGATTAATCATCGATTAATCAGCTAATTGATTAATCGTCGATTAATCGATTTTCTAAAAAAATTTTTGGTCTGATTCATATGGGCAAAAATTTTCAGTTGAAACACAGTGATTATTAGATTTATAAGTAATTAGATCACAATTAGGCCACAATTAGGTACATACATACAAAATTTATAAGCATTAGGTTACAATCAGGTACAAATTTATGAGTAAAATTCATAAGCGATTCATAAGCAATTCATTATTGGGCTTAAACCTCTGATCAAAAAATCACTTTTATTCTCAATAATCATGCCATATCA